TAAAAAAAAAAAAAAAAAAAAAAAAAAAAAAAAAACCACATTTGAACTGTAGGCATTTACAAATCCGTTGCCACCTTGTTAAAATCTTTATATCAGCTATAAATTGTTACATTATTAACAATGTCTTTTTTTGTGGTTTCTACCCATTGGGTAGGATATGTGCATACAGACTAACTTTATTTACAGCATCTTACAAATAAACGATTAAAAAAAAAAAACATTAGACCGAAGAAGAAAGCACCATTGGAAGTGAGGCACAGCTAAGGTGGGAACTTTTAGAGTGCAAGTGGGTTCCTACATCGCTCAAAAAAACAACACGATCGATAGGCACAGATTCAGCTCGAGTAACATGCAAACTCCTTAGACAGTAGAAAACATCTGAAAGCTCTTCCTTTGAGACAGAAACAAATTGTGGTAACATTTACCAGGATGGTGCAAGGATGGACAGACAGGCAAAACAAAAAGTGCAGAAGAAGAGAAGCAGCATAGCAGCAGCAGCAGCAGCAATGGCGGGAGCAGCAAACTGTCTAATGAAAGCGTTGAAAACGGCCAGTGAAAAGAACAGACGGCCAGGTAACAGAGAAAGGGCTCTTAAATCCAATACAGTTCTGAATGCAGTGACATTGTGCTCTCGCTCTTTGTAGTCTTGGTTAATCTTCGCAGATGGTCTGAGAGAAACATCTCATCTCAGGCTCTGCAATATGTTTCTGAAGTTGTGAGTTTTTAAAGTCTGTGCTTGAAAGACAAGAGCATCTAGACACCATTCAAGCGACTCTATTCTATATCTAGCTGAGCTGTTGGAATTCAAGAATCCAATACTAGCCATTTTGATGGGAATCTAGAGTTATAAAAGTGATGGGATTCTAGAATTATAATTTTAAAATTCTAGGGTTATTACATTCTAAATCAGCTAGAATCTAAATGTGATAGGATTCTAGAATTCTAAAATCTAGCCTACAATCCCTGGCAAAAATGATAGCATAATTTTTTATTTTTATATACAGTAATTACATTTTTTTTAATGTTATTGTTTAATAATATTATAATATTCCGGCTTTGTGAAACAAACAAATGAAATTATTTTAATTAATAGCAAATTGTTTCCCACATCAAGTACATTTCTAAAGCAAATTACTGTGTGGAAAAGGTTTTTTTTTTCAGGAAAGTCAACAAACATTCCAGATCTCAATCTGACTGGAAAATCATGGTGGAAAATTTGTTTTGCTATTTGTTCGTGAAAGTTGGAACCAGCTTAATGGAGAATATTGTGTTTCATTAGTAAAGCGCATGCCTCAAAGAATTCAGGTCGTCATTAATTTGTTTGAGTTCATATTTCACGAAACCAGAATGTTCAGCTATTAAACAAAAATAGTTTTGTGATTCATTTATTTGCCATAAAGTAAAAATAAATAAATTAAAAGAATAAATGTGTGTGAATATCCTCTAAGTGTGGTTATTCCATCATTTTTGCCAGAGGTTGAAACTGCTAGGATTTAAAAAGTCCAGTTGTTGTGGTTCTACTATTCTAAATATAGAAAAGGAGAGTGTTTGTTTAGTCTGGTATGGAGCACATAGGTCCAGATGGCATAATTTCTGTCCATGAAAAAAAAAAATTCCACCATGAGCAGAGAAAAAATAATAATAAAGCCAACTAACACAGACATGTAATGAAAGCATTCAAACACATTTTGATTGGCCGACTCTAACATTCCGAGTACAAATAGAGTAGCTTATAAAGGTGAGTGTGTTGCTTTTGAAAACTTTTTTTGACCATAATCCCCAGTGAACAAATCTAAACTTAAAAAAGTATAAAAAAAAAAAAATTATAAATCACCATGGCCCTTTCACATGTCCATCTGTCATTGGCAGATTCAGTGGTGACTAAAAACAGAGGCTCAGTCTTCAGTCTCCCTATTAAAGGGATGCATGTGCACTAACTGGTAAGAGTCTTTGGGCTTTCTTCTAGATTTTCTCTACCTCTGGACCAGATTCAAGAGCAACATCCTATATCTGGGCCTAAACGATTGTGATCAACTACACCCAAGCTTAAACTGAATGCAGAGAGCCGCTCTGAAGTGTACGGATCTTAGATTTCCTGACTGTATGTCTACGTGGCAAATAAGAGGAACACATATGGACAGGAAGAGAGTTCAGTGTTCAGGACTGGTGCGTGCTGGGCAGCAGCTGGTGTCAGGGTCAGGTTCACTCTGGCCGGTGTCAGAGTGAAAGCAAAGGCAACAGGACAGAGGATTGCTGGGTAAAAATAGGTATTTTCAAATTTTATATATATATATATATATATATATATATATATATTAGTCTATATAATTATATTTAAGATAATATAATAATAAAGATAATATATAAAGATAATATATAATAGTTTCTTACTAATGTCTTTAAGGAAAATAACATTATTAATGTCTCCCTTTATATACACATTTTAAAATCAATATATAATATTAAAAATAATAATAAAAAGAGAGATGATCAGAATAAGGAACTCCTTAGAAAAAGCATATCTTATAACATGTTCAGATCTCTTAGTGAAGTGAGGATTTTTTAGGCAAAATGTCAACCGTGCCACCAGCCAACTGACCACAGATCAGCTGGAGTCTGTGAAAGCGGCTGAAAGTGTCAGTGGTGAGGATAGATGAGAGTAGAGCAGACTCTCTGTATTCTGTGCCTCTTTTAGATCAAGGTTATTTTAGGCTGGATCAGAGATTTTTCTTGTGCTGAAGACAGACAAGATCACTTCCCTCCGGTAGAAAGCTCGCACTGAAGCATATGATCGGAGCTACACGAAAACGACAGTACAAACAGTAAACACATATCACCCCCCCTTCCCCACTACCCCATTCCCAGACTTCTCTCTGGTGCGTGCTGGGCAGCAGCTGGTGTCAGGGTCAGGTTCACTCTGGCCGGTGTCAGAGTGAAAGCAAAGGCAACAGGACAGAGGATTGCTGGGTAAAAATAGGTATTTTCAAAAATGCCCATCACATTAGCCCTTGACTTCACCACATTTTAAACCTGATTAATTCTTGTTGGGGACTAGATTATACAACATGCAAAACAGGGTTTTTAAAATCCTTTGAACACACTGGCATTTTGATTAGAAGATTATGCCAATGAATGTCTATGTTCTGCTATCAAACAATAGTGCAAAGTTCAGAAAAGGGTTTTGATTTAAATGTATAACAAGTCTTTAAGACAGTCAACGCCCCTATGACACCTTCCTCATAAACCTTGGCACTAGGATTTGGATTTTCACCCTTTTATGCATTTGTTTTGTTCAGAATGTCTATGTTCTGCTATCAGCTGTAAGGTGGAGGTGGAAAATGTGAACAATTAGTGACTGATGGGTTGTCAAAAAAAAAAAATACAGAACTGGATTATTTTATAGGATCATTCCGTTTATCAGTTTTGACTCAAAAACAAAAGTGCAAAAAGGCATGATATGGTAAACTTAAAACACCCTTTTATGCATTTGTTTTGTTCATGCTGCACAGATCTCGGTCTTTGAATTAAAAAAAAAAAAAAAGAAAAAAAAAATTCTATCCACACAGCTAGTATATCACGTGTGGAGGGGGGGCATTCAAGAGGAACACAACAATAAAACCAACAAGAACAACAACAACAACAAAAAGCCTGTCTTGTGCGCGAATAAATTTCTCTAAATTTGTCGGCTATACAGAAGTAATACAGAGCAATAAAGGTGGGAGACTCCGGGCAGTGCATAAACCCCAGTTTTAGCGCAGCTGGTTTGAGAAAACAAATGCAATGTTTTCTTTCGTAAGCTCAGCTCCATATTGTTATTTAAAAAAAAACAAACACATGGTTTCACTTTCGTCACGAAAACATTAAGCGCTGTTGTGCACGGGAGTGTCAAGAGGGAGAACCCATTCCCTTTATGGGTGGAGAGTGATCGCAATTGCCCAAACGTGTGCTAGCCCCACCCCCTCACACTAGCTCCTCCCTTTGTTGGCCTTTGCTCAGAGCTATTGTGCTCTCTGGGCTGTTTAAATCTGTCCGGCCCCTGGGCGGAGTCTGCACAGTGACGGGGATGGGCGGGTTATTGCTGTGCTGGTGGAGGTAAAGTACGATGCCCGACTGCTGCCCAATTACTTGACTGTATGCGGGCGGAGGGCCCTCCATGCGTCCATGGGTACTGGAGCTGGCCGCGCTGATCCCAGAGTTGCTACTGGGAGGCCGCGGCCCACCTCCACCCCCTGAACTGTGCATGTCAATGAGGTCGCTGTCGAAGATGGTCCGGTTAGGCGGGGCGCGTACCGACTCTCGGTTGAGCTCGAGCTGCTGTTCGGGGTCTCTTAGCTGCAGTGTGCAGGGACCCTGGTACGGTGGTGGCTCCTCTCCGTCCGACAGCGAGATGGTGGGCGGCAGATCGATCTCATGCTGCAGGTACGGATATGTAGGCTGGAAACGTCTGAAGCGGTTGTGCTGCATGAAAGTGGGTGCGGTGAAGCGGTCCCTTGGCTGAGGAGCATATACCACCTGCAGAGGAGAAGAGAGGGAATGCAAGAAATAAAATGAGAACATGTCATCTTACCTTTAAAGGATCCAATAAAGAGCCATGAAATGCTAGTATGCAAAACTCAATGCCACAATGGTGGTAGTTCCTTGCAGGGTTGTCCCTTGTAGGGTTTGAACCCACAACCTTACAGTTGCCAGCCTAGACCTTTGATAACTTGGGTATAATTTAATACATTAAGTATTACTGGTGGATATAAAACGTTATGGCAGTTTTCTGTTTTTCATAGCTGCCCATTCCAAGAAACACGATTTGTGTTTAATGATTTGTTTGCAACATCCCTCAATTTACTGTGTGGCATTTAACATGTTTAAAGTGCCCCTATTACACCATTTCGAATATTGTCTTTCGTGCAGTGTGTAATGTAGCTGTATGTGAACGTAAACGATCTGCAAAGTTGTAAAGCTGAAATCTCGGGGAGTTTAATGCGGGATTCACAAAACGCTGGGTCTTGAAAGATGGCTCAGTTTCCAGTTTATTTGGACCAGCTGGCTCCACTGAATCACAACCTGTAAGTATGATAAATAATAGATGTTTATATTTTCTATCGAGCGTTCAAAATATGGAACTATGGCAATGGGTGTATTGTTCCCGACACGCACTGTACGCGGTAGACCAATCACAACAGACCGGGCCATCTGACCAATCAGAGCAGAGTAGGCTCACGGAAAGGAGGGGTTTAGAGAGACTGAATCTAAGAACTGCATTGAATGAATCATTTGAGAATTGTTGGAAAATGAGGTGATATTAAATGCATATTTTGAGAAAATGGAAGTGTTTTTTGACCTTGCATGCATGTAAACTTATATTGTAGGAGACTCCCAAAACAATATTAGAAACCTTAAAAATGGCATAATGGGGGCACTTTAATGAAAGAATGAATCAATGAATCAATAATTAAATACTACTCTACTTATTCGTGCATAAAATAAAGATAATATAAAATAAAATGATATAAATCACACACACACACACAAAAAATAAAAAAATAAATCACATTTCAGACTAGATATCTCTTTATATATATATAGACATATTTTTACGAGTATTATTTTTAATATACAGATATTATTTTCTTGACAGATTCTTATGAGATAATTAAAAATTAATTATCTTATATTATCGGTATAATTAAACACACTTTTAAGCAATATATATATATATATATATATATATTTATATATATATACACATATACATACACATTTATAATTATGATTACATAATTTTATATAGACATTTTTAAAAAGCAAACAAAATTTTGATAAATTTTTAAGCTATATCACTCAGCCTTACACCACATATAAGACATTGTATGACGGAGAAAGAGTCTAGATGCCCAGAGAGAACTACTAGATGCCTTAGAACTACATCCACATAAACCTGGTTTTTCAGCAGACAAAAGTGTGTTCGTTCAACAAAACTGTATTCTACTCATGACACATCCACACAGCTAAATAGTGACTCTTTCATTTCCATATAAACTCACCAGAACTCCAAACTTAAATGGTCCCCAGTCCAGACATTAGTATGCTAATGTGCAGCTGATAAAATATCCTTCATGTGAGTGAAATCTACATATCAGTTGGCCAATGAGATCAGTCTCATTACTGCAGGGGCCACGTATACATTAGAGAGTTTGGGGCTGATGGGAGGCAATTTACACAGATAGACCCTGAGTGTCTGGCCTCTCAGACGACCGTCTAGACACTGCCAGAGGAGGGTGAGAGATTAATGAACTGCTGAGAGGCTGCATCCCGGTGAGAGAGACAACCCCCCACACCGCCACCACACACACAAACAATGAATATATATGCATGTATTCTCTCCACACATTATATTTTATACTAGTGCTATCACTCACAGACGCAGTCTCAGAGACTATCCTCCCTCACATACGCCTACACTGAGAGAGGCACAGGCACACACAATGGCACAAAGACGATACACACTTGAGGAGACTTCACTGCTTGTTACAGGCAGACATGCCATTTATACAAGGAGAACAACAACACTTGAAACAAGGTCCTTAGAGTATAGGACTGAAAACACACACACAAACACTCAGCTTACCTCAGATGCTCCTTGTCTCAGCCCATTATCTGATGGCCACAGAGAACCTTCCTACAAACAAGGAGAAAAAAATGCATAGATATAATATTCAGAATTTTAAGATAGCATAGTCTACCATAAATATCACATAATATTGATACTGAAACATTTTACGTAATAACTATGCAATATTTTTTGTTAACAACTAATCACTGATTAAAGAGGAACATCTAAAATCAGTGTCTAAATATAGTTCACCCACTGTCATAAATGAACATTTTATGACAAGATTAGAAATGTTCCAAAATCATTAACCCAAATAGCATTATTAAAAAAAGTTAATAAATAAATAAATAAATAATATTAATAGTAAAAAATTGAAAAATAAAATAAAAAATCAATTAATATCCCATTTGTTAAACCTTAATTATATCCATATTTAAAATGGCATGGACATTTTAAAAATGCAAAAAGTACATAAAATAACAAAATAAATAAAAGGAAAAAAGAATCATGATGAATGAAGAATGCTCTGTGCCTACATATATCCATATGTAAATTGCATAAATGACATTTAAAACCATTAAACAAACAAAATATAAAATAAAAACTATAAAATATAAATGAAATAAAACGTAAAATAAATAAATAAATAACCATGTTAAATCCTAATTATATCCATATTTAAAATTGCATAGACATAAAAATAAAATGCAAAAAAGTACAGTAACAAAATAAAAGAAATACAAGAAAAGAATCAGACAGAGCCCATTTGTTAAACTCTAACAATGCTCTGTGGCTACATGTATCCATTCTAATTAAAAAACCTAAACAAAACCAGTAAGAAACATTCTCCCAGACATCGCTGGCTTCCCTCCCCCTCGCGTTCCCTCATGAATGAAAATGAAAAGTCTCAGTCATTTAGCAGTCTCTCCCGGGTGCTGCAGTGGGCTGCGTGTGTCTGAGTTTGACTGGCGTCTAGACAGAACTGCTGAATGTAATAAACATGCCCTGGTCTCATAAGGGACATCTCCATTGTGTCTCTTCCAAAGCACACTGCCTTTCTAAAGGAGTAATATATATTGTGTTTTAAATTTATTGCATGTAGTGCATCCAGTAAGATGTAATATGTCCTAATGCAGCATTCAGTTTTCCATGAAAATTCTCTGTGCAGTCACCCATAGCATGAACAACTAAAACCTCTTGCACTCCACAGCATGTTCAATAACATTTAGGGCACGACAATGACTTGTATTTTTGAAGTAAGATAAATGATGTATGATTAATTTCCTGCTGTCTGCCTGGTTAAAAACTGTGCAAACTTTCTGAAATTCATCCCTGGGGTGAGATGAGACACCCACACATGCAGTGCTCCGTCTCATCAGCTCAGTGCACTGCTGCAAGTTATTTTGGATTAGACAAAAATAAGACCTTTCCAGAAGTAAACACACACACACCCCACTCAAGAGACTTTTAGGCCCTGCTGTTTTCTTGTTTTCCAAGATAAAAGCACACCCGCATAAGATATATCAAAGAAGGCTTAGAGATGACACAGCAGGTGAAAAATTCATCTATTCAGTATTAGAAATTGATGTTTCACGGCTCAGCCTGAAAAACATATCAAGGAACTCTGATGTTTATGATTTAGACATAAGATCATTTTAGGTGCTGACCACATATATATATATAAAAACATACTTATAAATACTTAAATACTTTATAATTTCTCATAATTTAAAAGGAACATTTAAAACATCTAAAAGTTCACATACGGTCATAAATGAACATAGATCAGAAATACTAGCATTATAAAAATATTTATTTTTATTTATATTTATAAAAAATAAATAAATAAAATAAAAATAACCTATTTGTTCAGCCCTTATTAAGATGATTTTAGGTGCTGATTCACTTGTTTAGATGATCCTCATGGGCTTTGCTGCTCCTTGACTCTGGAAAACTGTTGAAAATTCTAATATCTCTGTTTTACTCATGACATTTTGATTATACATTTTTCATTCTGCTGCTGATTTACAGAAATATTCTGATAATTTTGGTTTCCTGTTTTCATGCTACACTGCATTTGCTGTATGTTGTTTACATCTGTTCCCATGCCATATCCATTTATTTTCTTCTGATTTGTCTGCTTCTTGTAATTAATTGCTCATCATACTGTTTCCTATTTGCTCATCATGCTCTGTATAGTTACATTTGGTTCTAGAAAGCTTCTATATAAATAAAACATGATTATTGTTTCATGGAGACAGCACAGAGACAGGAAATTGCTGGCAACTTGTGCGTTTCATATGAAACTTCATATGAACTTTTAGGCCTCGCCTGTAACATACATTTTTTGTTTATTCCTGTCCAGGGCTTACAGAAGGTTGTCAAAGTGTTTAATCACTTGGTGCTGCTGTGGTTAGTGCAGAGAGAGTGTGACAGGGTCTTACCGGCTGCAGAGAGAGATCCTGACTCTGTGCCTGACTAGCGCGGCTCAGGAACGACCATGTGGTGAGTTTGTAGTGGTTGAGCAGGCACACGACCACCACGACCATCACAGTCATCACGACGATTATGATCACGATCTGCACAAACTCCAGAAAAAAAAAAAAAAAAAAGGATCCTGTTTACAATCAAAACATCTTTAAAAATTCAATCGCGTTTTGACCAAAAGATGGCAGCAGAGTCAAATCAACATCCATGAAGACTACAGCTCCCCAAATTGGTGATATCATCTTGCAAAAAAAGGTGAGAGCCATTTTGGTTTGACATGGACAACAGAAAGGAAATAGTTGGAAATCTGAGGGCCAATAATGACTTATTTTTCTGTCTGTTTCTCAATTAAATCTATCATGAAGCTTCAGAAGACTTGGAATACAAGTGTACAAGTCATTTGGAATATGACTGGTCGCTTTAGTAGTGCTTTTGTGATCTTGAAAGATCTATGAATTGCCATATGGGGAAAAAAAAGATGATTAAAGAGAAAGTTCACCCAAAAATCCTGCTGTCATAATTTACTCTCCTCATGTTGTTCCAAACCTGTACGAGTTTCTATTTTCAAAAACACTGGACCCCACTGATTGTGATTGTATGGAGAGGGAAAAAAAAAATAAAGTCATTCAGGTTTGGAGTGACATGAGGGTGAATAAATAATGACAATTTTCATTTTTGGATGTACAATCCCTTTAAAATTCTCCTTTACACTGAACGCAAGCAGCGTACGCTATTCTGTCAGCCGCTTTGATTTGAACGAAAACAGCGCATCCGTGCAGCGTGGCTGACACAGAAGAGTGTACGCTGCTTGCGTTCAGTGGATACTCTCCAAAATGGCGCTACGGTGATGCGGAGAGACACAGAGACGGAGAATTGTTGAATAAAGTCGTTATTTTTGTTTTCTTCGCTACAAAAAGTGTTCTCATCGCTTCATAACGTTACGGTTGAACCACTGATGGCAGATGGACTAATCTGACGATGTCTTTCATACTTTTCTGGACCTTGACAGTGTTATTTACTTGGCAGTCAATGTGACAGTCACAAGCCTCCCGGTTTTCATCTTAAATTGTGTTCCGAAGACGAACGAAGCTTTTAGGGGTTTGGAACGACATGGGGTAAGTGATTAATGACAAAATTTTCATTTTGGGGTGGAGTATCCCTTTAATGTTTCATGAAAACAACTAATGGCATACAGGTTTAAGATGACATGAGGGTGAGTAAATAAACAAATAGTTCACCAAAAAATTACGTTTAATGGGCAGTTAATGATGAAACCAGAGTTTCTATCATTAACCAGCTTTATTCCAATATCCTGGCCTGTAAGCACCAAAATAATGAAGGTAAACAGCTTGATCGATGTTTCTTAAAACATGTTCTGTTTGAACACGAGGAACACCCTGCTGGACTCACACTTGCTCTCAGTCAAGAGCAAAACTGTTTCTCAGATGGAAATGCTTCTGGAGTCCACAGGCTTTTCAGACAACAAAAATGAGCCCTCCACCAACTGTGCCGAGGGACCGTTCTGGAACCTCGTACAGTCGAGTAAACCGAACAGAGAGGCTGAAAGTGAGAGTGTCACGAAGAGAGAATGAAAGAGTGAGTTGTTGCCTGCAGTGAAGTACTGCGGGATACTGGCACTCACACATCAAAAGAAACAAACACTTCTCTCCTAATTTAGGGCATAAGAGGAGGAAGCAAAAGTGGGAGACGGAGCAGAGGGGAGGGTGATGAGGAGAAAAAAAAACCAAGAAAAAAAAACAAGAGAGGAGGACACAGACAGGCAAAACAGACAAAGGAAGTGACAATCAGACAGGAGGGCAGATAAGACAGAGAGAATGAGACTCAGATCAGAATACCGGTAAGAACAAATTTGACTACAAACACAAACCTATCAGACTGGAGCTGAATCAATACAAAACGAAATCACAGTAGGCTTCAAACCAGTCCATGAATACTGAGCTGCTCCTCCGACTTTAGATAAAAAATACATGAAATAAAAGCCAGTCTTTTTAAATGTACAGTGGGGATTTGAGAGTCCACATTGAAAATCTAATTTAACCTAGAAAAATTAACATTTCTAGGATGTTGATAACCGTAAAACAAAGATAAGTCATGATGTATATTTAAAATTCTGTAGTTCTAAGTCACTAAACAAATAAGCGTATTTATGACACTGACCATGTGAACTTGTTTGTATAAAAGGTCAGATTTTCTTGCTAGTACTGATTCAAACCATAAAAATCATACAAAAATTTCAATTACATTTTTCATCATGCGGATGAAATAATTTATAATGAAAAAATAATTTGAATGAAAAAACAAACAAACAATTAAATTAGAAAAATGCAAAGCATTTTCTCAATTGCATTCAAGACTTTTGGACCCCACAATGCTCAGATCCATCTCACAGACTTTGGGTAACTTTCAGGGTAACTCTTACAAAACCCCCCCAGAACACCCTAGCAACCACCTAGAACACCTTAGCAACAGATAATGTAGCAATGTACAAACCATGCATAAGACCTTAGAAACTGCTTATCAACACCCTGGCAACCAAGAGTTCAGCATGAGCAAGCACCACGCAGACTTTCTGACAAAATGTAATATAAATAATTAAGATTATTAAAATAAGATGAATAATTTAAACTGACAACATACACTCTGGATTCCTCTTTTAGAAATGCCTTGTGATTAATTGCCCTGCTAGGGGGGAAAAAAAGCTTAAGCTGAGAGCTTTTGGAACATGATTGGTTGGTTTCTAGCTGGTCTAAGTTGTCAGTAGACACTTTTGGACCAGCAACATGCCAGCTTCTGGTGATTAAGCTGGTTTTTGGAACACAGTAGCTTGTTGACTAACTAATGACCCACTTAGATCAGCTAATGACCAGCTTAGACCAGCTAGAGACCAGCCATCATGTAGGTTTTGTTGGTTTTGATTGTTACTATGTCCTGTCCAATTCTCCCACTGACACACTCTGTCCAATGTAACAGTGACCTCTCATGCCAATCACAGAGAGACAGAAAGAGAGCGTGAACAAATGAGAGAGGGTCTAGGTATCACAGACTGCAGATTAGCCATACACAGACAAGTTTCTCTCTGCAGACCACAGAGAGAGGATCAAAATCCATCAAGCCGTTCTGTCACCAGGCAGAGCAGACAGAAAGCATTAGACCAGACGAGAGAGAGAGAGAGAGTGTGTGTGTGGGTGATAGG